CGGGGGGTATAATTATGTTTGGATGGTAAGATGCTGTTATTTTCACTTTTTACAACATTTCTAATACTTTCTGTAATTGTAATTTGAAAGATTGAACACATAAATGAATAATTTCTGGACATTATAATATGTACCTAAAGAACGGTATTTAGGTCTTCGTTTCACGATATCGGATACATATCACGCAACAAAAGATCGCGATATACCGGTATACCAATAAAATAGCACATCCCTAGTACATACGTAACTGGACAGAGCATTAGGAACCCACCGACCTATCTGTTACATTAATTATTGGTTTCTGGAGAGCACTGAAAACATTGTCAATCAAGGTTTTTTTCCAGACAGCGGGGGAGGAGGCACCACACTAAAAAAATCCAACTCAGGATCTTTTTATAAAAAGAAAAAGAAGATTTTTTCCCAGCGTGAGAATTTAGCACAACGTTTTAAAATTTGATTTTAGACATCATTGCCACAGGTGCTTGAGGACAGGACCCCCCCCCCCCTTCAATATAGACCCCTGGGCTTTTTCGATTTTTTTCTCATAAAAAATCTTTCATTGCCATATTTGTGATAAGATCTATATCAGCAAATCGAAAAATTACCTAAAACAAACGTTCTATTAAATCTACCCTACATTCTGAAAGGAAGTAATAAGGAGAGGACTAATTCCCGATGTTCCCCATATACCCAAATATACGTGTAAAATACCAACAATAGATATATTCTTGTTTTTTGTATGAATTCTTCATCAAAATTTTATTTTCAAACGTTTTGTAGATTTAAACAAATATTTAATGAAAAGAAGATATTTTTATAAATTGCATATTTAAAAGGGCATAACTCTCACATGCAAATCAGGTATTTGAAAAATAATTAGAGACATTTCATTTGCATCAGCAGTTTAGAATTCTATTCTCTCAATACATTTGAAAGACATTTTTTAAAGTGTATATCAACCAAATTTCTTCAAAAGTTTACTTCAAAACAGTGTCTCAGACTTTCTGCAGAACTGTGTATTTTGGTAAAATGTCGTCTCCTCGTCACTTCCGTTCACTAAGCAAAAACGCTGACTGTAGCCTGATATCCTTTCGAAAACTTGGTCATAACGACTGTTAAAGTGCCTTAACCTTCATGAGAGTTGGTGGTTAATGAAAAGAATATTCAATCTACAATATGAGTTGTTGATTTTAGGGCTTTGTTTAGATTTATGAGACGATTCAACCAAAATTCTCGGCAGTGCCTCTCTCTCGGTTTGCAGACGAAGTTGGCAACCTTGTTAATTTATATATAGAGAGGGTAGATATTTTTATAAAATGTAAGTTTAAGCAAATTTTCTGAATTGATAGGATAAATTCTATCACAAATGTGTCATCCATATATAATTTATGTGAAAAAAGTCGAACAGGCCCGGGGGTCTATATTGGGGGGGGGGGGGGTCCTGTCCTCAAGCACCTGTGATCATTGCCAAAAGAAATAGCCTACATGTCCTTAATCTAAATTTGATGTTCTTTAAAGTTATTTTTGCTCACGTAAATTGTGGTCAAATCATGGAATAATTAAAGTAATAAAAATTTTAAAATGAATTTATTTATATCTTCCATAATTTTTCAAAAATCTTATAAAGCATGTTTTTCCTCTTTTTTGAGGAATTTTATAACCGTTTCTGGTGTCGAACACTGATTGACTTGCGATCATTTTCGATGTTCGACTTCATATCGCTTTTTTAATATATTTTTAAATGAAGTTTGGTTGATTATTTTGCGAATAATGCATCTTATAAACCTATATAAAACAGATTTTAAAAACATTTATTGGCATGAAATTGTCTTTCAAAATGGCCGATGATATATACACGACCGTCGTGCGCATAGTAAAGAAAGTCTATTTACACGACCGTCGTGCGAATAGCTAATGCAAATTGCTGAGATATATACACGACCGTCGTGCACATAGGTTAGAAAAAAATCTATTTACACGACCGTCGTGCAAATTGCAATCGCATATGCCAGAGATTTGCACACGACTATAATATTGTTTACACGAATCCGGGATGTCTCGCACCGATTTTGTTTCGCACCGAGATGGTTTGCACCAGGACGATTCGCGCCCATTTCAGTGCGCAACATCTCACGTTATATTTTAAATATATCACATTTTGTTTTTTTTTAATTTATTTATTAACTTTAAGATAAAATGTTATATGTAATATCATATGCCTGCTCAAATTCATGACTTAATAATATTGTCTTTTATTAATTGTCGTGTACTCATTATTTGAATTTCTAATTCAATAATTAGTAAACGACAATATGCACTTCCAAAAATAACGGATCGTAAGGTGTTCGTTTGCTCAACCTGTGTGTTCAACATCTCAATGATACTCCACACTCCACAGTCATTTCTTTTCACATCCCTTTCTTTTTACGGTACAGCTTTGAAATTCATGGATATGTTATAATTGATTATTTTACATACATGTATAAAATATATGGACGCACCAGCACAAGGATGGTATTCAATATTCAAGTGTGCCAAAGAATGCAACCGAATCGTACTACCTGTTTCATAAATATGTAAATAAAGCAGTTTATGAGCCATAAAAAAGAAACAAATTTTTATTTTAAAAAAAATAATGAAGATTAATAGAAACCCAAAAAATAAAGGAAAGAGGGGTGATCACTTGGCCATCCATTGTAAAAGAGAAGTGCGGATCACCAAGTGTATAGACAATAACTTTCACACTTGCTCGCGATGATAGGAGGGAGGATGGGGAGGTGGGGATAACAGTTATGTTACTACCAGGGTTATATCCTCGGACCTCCTACATACTCTTTCGGTCCTTGACCCACAGAGTGCATGCACTCGCACATATATGCTGACGGTATTCTGGATCTGCAGCGATGATCAAATTGATGAATGAAAAAAAAAATGTGAACAGTGAATCAAAGAGCCATAGCTATCTTAGAGACGACTCAAGAATTAAAAGGGAAATGTATGGAATCCGGATAGGCCATGCATTTCACTATCGCATCATCGCACCTTTTGGCATTATAGGATTTGATCATGTGACTAACTTCCTTTCATACCCAGGTATAACAATGAAACTCTTGAAATGACATCTTATATATTTCTTAAAAGTAGTAAAGAAATCATAGAAAAAAAATACACAACTTAAAAAATCTTCAAATAAAATTTGGAATCACAATTTCAGCAATCACACCATGAAGTCATCGATATTGGATGGATAAATTTAACCAAGAAAGAATCTTATACCAAATCTTAAAATAGGAGAAGAAAAATTGGGAAAAAAAAATTTTCACCATTTTTAAGATGAAGCCACCTTCAACCAAAATAAAGTGCCGTCATACACAAAATTATTCAAATGTGTTTTTTTCTGATTAAAGGTCGTCTTTATCACAGGTGCTTGGGGACGGGACGGGGGAATAAAAATTCATACCCTCTGATACTAAAACACTTCTGCTTCGGTATCAGAGGGTATGGATTTTTATATATAAAAGGCAAGTTTTAGCTTAAATTTTTGATTTTTTTTTAGAAGTAATACTTTGTAAATATGTCATAGAAAAATAGTACGGAACACGGTTGGGGAGGGGTGGGTGGGGGGGGAAGCACATGTGGTCTTTATCAACAGTTTATCATCATTGAGATACATACGTCAATATTTACTACATACTCCATAAAAACTTGATGATTTTTATAAATAGCATTTTAAGGGAACTATTAACATTTAAATATCAATATAATTGTTTAATTTGAGATTTCACGAGTATAACAGTATAAAACTAAGGTTTTATGACAAGTTTTTGGTTTACCGTTATAAAAGTGTGTATTAAGAATTCAGTACTAGAGTAGGTGAAAATGCTTATCAAATGCGCCCTGGCTCGTGTTAATTGTTGGGATAAGGGTTGAGGTGGAAAGGGTAAACCCAGGCCTACCAAAATAGTAAGTCAATATTTTATTAAAATGACTTGTTTATATATATACAAATACATGGGTAGTTCTAAAAGAAACAGATTTACATTACAACGATCTGTCCATTGGACCTAAATGTCATTTTATTGTATAAATTAACATCATGAAAGAAAGTTTTTGCGATGTTTTCTTACCAAAAGGCTTTTGGGGCTTTAATTACTGCGTGCCGAACTTAACTGGGTACGAAAAAACGAACGCCATAATAAGAAATATAATGGTCGTGCGAACAGCTGATAAATATTATATATAAACACGACGGTCGTGCAAATAGACACTGAAAAATTATATACACGACGATCGTGCAAATAGTCACTGAAAAATTATGTACACGACGGTCGTGCGAATAGCCGTTGAAAAAGTAAGTGCACGACGGTCGTGCATATAGACACTGCCTTTCAAAACATTATTTAGCTTATTTGGTAAATGTTAGAAGCTTGAAAACAACATTGATAATTCATTTACAACTGAAAATTTGGTGAAATAATCTTCAAATTTCCGGGCACGCAGAACTATTAACAGAAGAGTTTGACCTAAGAAAGACAACTCTAATTGATTAGATGGGTAAAAAAGAAGGCAGCTAGGTAATCAAGAGTTGCCTACCATTACATGTTTATCAAAAGGTGTAGGCGAGGTTAAAAATGTATTCGACTTGCGATCAGTTTACCCTACTAGCATTTCATGTCATAATCATGTTAACAATCACCTGTTCACTTGGCCTATAGAGAGACTAGAGATTAAATGGTATTTCCTGTTTAAAAATACATCCCCCTCCCTGCTAGGCTTGACTTGATATAAAAAAATGTAAACAAGCAAAATTAAAAAAATAACCAATTTAAGTGCGAATAGTCATCGAAATCATAACTTGGCGAGATGAAAAATTTATTTTTAGCAAGGAAAGCACATAAAATATTTAGCCAGAAAACAGGTTACGTACATTAAAACAAATACAATCTCATACTCTCTGTATATTCAGTTAGATAAAGTATGTTTTTGTTTGTAACCATTACTAACCTGCTGACTAGATTACTCTAATTTTACAATTATTTCAGCTTCTCCGGTCAGACAGGTGTGAAACACATGGGCGCAGCCATTTTGAAAAAAATAAAGTACAAAACCAAGTATGACTAAATTAAAATTTTCCGAAATAATATAAACTCCGTGTGCGGAAAAAAAATGCTATCTCTGTCGATCCTTGTCATAAATTCTATCAATATTTTCTGTGTATTGATACAGTGGCGTAGCATCGTTTTTGAAACTGGGGGGGCCAGCCAGAGAAAAAAATTTTTTTGACTTACCTGAAAAAGTTGACAAGCAAAAAAAAAAAAAAAAGGGAGAAGTTGCCCACAGTCGAAAATCCTATTTCGTGGGGGGGTAGGTAAACTTTTTCTCAGTGTCAACTACCAATTCTAATACTACATTTTCGGTACATCACTAAAAGTGGGGGGGCCAACCAGCCTTTCAATTAACATATTTCCTATAGTATAAGTAAGGTTGGGAAAAAAATACCCCCCGGTTGCTACGCCCCTGTGATAGGAGAGTTGATACGATGGTACAACACTTTACAAATTCAGCCATGATTAAATAATTGAATACACTTTATAAATGAGTTTTTACGCAATTGTAAATGAAAATTCGAGGGTATACCCTGTCCGTCCGTCTTTGTGGCCCCACCCTACCCCCGGTGGTCATGATTTTAATAATTTAATATCTACACTACCCAAGGATGCTTCCACATAAGTTTCAGCTTTCTTGGCTCAGTGGTTCTTGAGAAGAAGATTTTTAAAGATTTGTTCTATATATTTCTATATAAAACTTGGATTCCCTATTGTGGCCCTGCCCTACCCCCGGGGGTCATGATTTTAACAATTTAATATCTATACACTACCCAAGGATGCTTCCACATAAGTTTCAGCTTTCTTGGCCCAGTGGTTCTTGAGAAGAAGATTTTTAAAGATTTGTTCTATATGTATTTCTATGTAAAACTTGGATTCCCTATTGTAGCCCCGCCCTACCCCCGGGGGTCATGATTTTAACAATTTAATATCTACACTACCCAAGGATGCTTCCACATAAGTTTTAGCTTTCCTGGCCCAGTGGTTCGTGAGAAGAAGATTTTTAAATATTTGATCCATATATTTCTATGTAAAACTTGGATTCCCTATTGTGGCCCCACCCTACCCCTGGGGGTCATAATTTTAACAATTTATTATCTACACTACCCAAGGATGCTTCCACATAAGTTTCAGCTTTCCTGGCTCAGTGGTTCTTGAGAAGAAGATTTTTTAGTGACCCCACCCTATTATTGTCTTTTCTTGATTATCTCCCCTTCTAAGGGGACTTGGCCCTTCATTTTAACAATTTAAACTCCCTTTCACCCATGGATGCTTTGTACCAAGTTTGGTTAAAATTGGCCCATTGGTTCTTGAGAAGAAGTCGAAAATGTGAAAAGTTTACAGACGGACGGACAGCTAGACAGACGGACGGACGACAGACAAAATGTGATCAGAAAAGCTCACTTGAGCCTTCGGCTCAGGTGAGCTAAAAAGAATATAACACTTTAACCTTGACCTTAACTTTTGAACAGTTGGTGCTATGGCTTTCTAACTTCACAAGGGTATGACAAGACCTTAATTTGAACAAGTTTTGACCTTGATCTTAGGATTTGACCCACTTAAAAAAGTTTAACCTTGGTATCAAATTGAACAGGTAGTACTCATGGTACTAGGACTTTCATATTTTTCACATGTGTATTCCTTTTTGCATGATATTCCTTAATTTTAAACCAACAATTTGGACCTTTGCCTTGCATTTGGGAAGCTTATAATTTAACCTTTGCCATACAGCTGCCATAAGGGGGCATCACTGTTTCACAAACAATTTTTTTTAAGAAATACATGTATTTATGATTGGTAGATTATATCAAAACGCCCAACACAATATTGAGGACAGATTTTTGACAGCATCCAATAAATGTAACCTGGCCCTCTCCCCTGATGCATAAGACGTGCTTTCATCTGCAATTGTGTCAAATTCAGATGTGAGGAAAGCTTGTATGCCCATTACACTATGTCTAAATAGTCCAAATTGCGGCTTGTCAAATTTTACATTTTACTTCAGATTATAAAGTAGAGTGAAGTATGAGAAGCTATAAATTTTTAATCTGTTTTTAATTTTTTTAAAAAGTCTTTGTTGATATTGCCTTATGGAAACATATTTTAAATTTTGAAATTAAAAATTTGTTTAAACATGTTAATAACACAAGTCATGCAATCGTTTGAATATATTTATTGCACAAGTTACACTCTCTGTTCCAAACCATCATAATTACAAATCATAAACTTAAAGTTAATGAAGACAATTTTTCTGACAAAACTCTATGGTTCAAAGATTAAAATGTGTGAAAAGTAGAAAATGAGATTGCAAAATTAATTGCAATAAATAATGCTGTAACTTAAAATAATACTTATTCATCAGTAAGAGTAAAGGTCTGTCTGTTTGTAAATTTGTTTTACATTTGCTTGTAATCACTACAGACTTTGTTATTATCGTTCAAGGTTGCATAAATTATGACCAAAACTGACAGTCAGAGATAATATATGTTTACTAGGTATTTAAATGTATGATATTTAAATTTCTCTCCAAAAATGAAACAATTCATACAAATGTACATGTATGTACTGCTACATGTATTATAAAATTATAACCTGTAAAAGGTACATGTATTCAATAGACTGGCTCTTTGAAAAACAAGTTACATTAGTTATATAACCCACAAATTGTGTCTAAAAAATGCACAAGTTTAATCATCAATTAAGTTTCACCTGTGTTATATATAGAAGAATGGTAAAAGCAGAGGGCTTTGCTATAAAAAGAAACACTGTGTATGTTCTAGGACTTGCGCTGAGTAATCACAGCAATATCAAATAAAGATTTCTGAACAGCACTTGAAAAAAATACACTGTAAAAGTTTCTGAGTTTTTGGTTTTGGGGGAATACCTTTCATAGTGTATCAGTCTGTAATATTCTGACAACAGTTATATCACAGAGATGTGGAATATAATATAAAGTGATAATAAATACATTATGTAGAATGCCTTGGAAGTGTATTTATAGCCGGTGGATGATCTAACGAGGTGGATCCAGGGGTTGACTATCCCGGGGTCGATATCAGGACTTGTGTTTAATCTTCTCTATCATTGACTGGTTCTCTTTCTTCATTTGCTGGTAGTCCTTTGTAATCTTCTCCAGGTTTGATAATACTTTGTTTTTGCTTTCATACATAATCTACAAATACAAAAACTTTTAAATCAGACCTTTGACCCAGATATTTTGACCTCTAGACTAGTGCTATTGAGCTATCAAGTCAGCCTGGCTGCCACATACATGTATATAGGGCAATACAAATCCTATCGTACAACTCCTTACAGATCATTCTCTACATGTGTAAACTTGATTGTTGATACTAATCACTGTGATATTTCCTAGATACTAAATATCAGTAGTGTAGGAACTCTTTTATTCAGATAAGTACTGTGATTAGTACTATGATAACTATCTCGGATGTCAGTACCTGGTCCTCCAGCTCTCGGATTTCCCTCATAATGACCCCCGTATCTGTCACCGTCTTCACCAGCTGTTCACAGTTCTAAAACACACAGAGGTCAAAATATGTACTTAAGGCCATTTCTGAATATATATGACAGAGACTTAGAAATGAGAACGTAAATCAAGCTGAATCCAGACTACGTACCTCGTGTAATGCTGCCAGATGTCTGTAAGCCTTCTTCACCGATTCATCTCTCTTGGCATCCTAAACATCAAGAAAAAGTATAACAGGAAACAAATTACAAAAAAATCTGTTGCCTACATGTGAAATACACTAGTCTCTCTGTAAGGCTACCTACTTTAAATATGAGTTCATCTGTCACTGTAAATGTTCTGCCCAGCTTCCCCTCCAGGTTGTTGATTTCCTTTTGTATTGATCTTGTATCAATTAGCACCTAGAAATAAGTCAGTACATTTACACTTACATCATTGAGGTAATCAAGGTGTAAGTAGTTTTATATATATACATAAATGTGATCTTTATTCTGGTTCAAGTCCAGATATATTTCTACTGATTGTTATTTCTCTTGTCTGTCCCTAATTACATTAAAATACAAAAGTGATGCTGTAATGATAAGTTTTATGACTTTTCTTGTTTGTTTTATATTAATAGTTGAAGGATATTATGAAGTAGATACAAAATTTAAATAGTAGCTCCCTGTGGGATGTAATTTAGGACTAGTTACCACACCTTGTCAATTTCATCTCTCTGTTTCTTTATGCTGGACATGATCTCCATCATCCTCTTGGTGTAACCAGATCGCTTCTCATCCTTTGTCATACTGCTATACTCAGCATGCTAAAAATATGGTTTAACATTTGATTGGATTTTTAGAATTTTAAATAATGTTACTGTCATTTCAATTCTATCACCTGGCATGTTTATACATTGTATTTTAATTAGTATGTGGGTGAAATGACACCAGAGGTGTATCCAAGAGAATGGGGAATATTTTTTAATGCAAAAAAAAGGCTTATGACATTATTGACCTTGCAAACTCCCAAACTCTGCCAGGTTGTGACACCTCTGATTTTGAAGTCATATCTGTTATGTTTTGGGTAGAACATAATGAAATTTTATATGATTGTCAAACCTATGTGTATACATTGTACATATTCTCAAAATAGAAATCATTGAAAATTGAATACATAATAAGAATTTAATTGTGCCAGTCCACAAGCATAAACTACTTAATATCTTATACATGTATCTTAAACTGAGTGTTTGAAGTAATGAGGATGAAACTTATTCTCACACGTTAGGAACACGAACTTGGTTAAACATACCCCTGACGTTTATCATAGAAACAACATGCATTTGTGTCTGAGGTCTCCAATATTCAGCTGTACATGTACTTACCAAGTGTTTAAGCATTTCCTCTTTGTTTCTTGCATCATCTGCCACCTCCTTCATCTTCTGTCTAAATGCTTTAATCTCTTCCAGTTTCTTCTCCGCCTCTGACTATAAATGATTTCTAACATGATTAATTAGGTTGCCAAGGGTTACTCTTTAAAATAATGTTGAAATAAAAGAATTATTTTTCATAAATTTTCAAGTAATGTTTGAATAGTAATTTTCAGAAAAAAAATTGTAGATTTCTTTTTCTAAAAACCTCCTATCTAATTAAAATTGGATCTTTGATCTGCATCAACTAGTTGACTACACGAAGACCTCTCTCTTTCACACTCTCTCTCTCTCTCTATCTTGTTAAATACATGCACCTGGAACCCCTCCTACCCCCCCCCCTCCCACTTTACCTCCTTTAGTGAGTTGAGGTTCTTGAGTTCCCTGTACTGTTCTATAAGAGGCACCCTGTGTTTCTCCCATTGTCACTAGCCCCAGCCCCCACCCCCACTATACCTCCTTTAGTGAGTTGAGTTGCTTGAGTTCCCTGTACTGTTCTATAAGAGGCACCCTGTGTTTCTCCCATTGTCACTAGCCCAGCCCCCACCCCCACTATACCTCCTTTAGTGAGTTGAGGTTCTTGAGTTCCCTGAACTGTTCTATAAGAGGCACCCTGTGTTTCTCCCATTGTCACTAGCCCAACCCCCCCAACCCCCCCACCCCCACTATACCTCCTTTAGTGAGTTGAGTTGCTTAAGTTCCCTGTATTGTTCTATAAGAGGCACTCTGTGTTTCTCCTATTGTCACTAACCCCCCCCCCCACCTCCCCCACTTTACCTCCTTTAGTGAGTTAAGTTGCTTGATTTCCCTGTACTGTTCTATAAGAGGCACTCTGTGTTTCTCCCATTGTCACTAACCCCCCCCCCCCCTCCACCCCCACTATACCTCCTTTAGTGAGTTAAGTTGCTTGAGTTCCCTGAATTGTTCTATAAGAGGCACCCTGTGTTTCTCCCATTGTCACTAGCCCCCCCCCCCCCTCAACCCCCACTATACCTCCTTTAGTGAGTTAAGTTGCTTGAGTTCCCTGTACTGTTCTATAAGAGGCACCCTGTGTTTCTCCCATTGTCACTAGCCCAACCCCCAACCCCACTGTACCTCCTTTAGTGAGTTGAGTTGCTTGAGTTCCCTGTACTGTTCTATAAGAGGCACCCTGTGTTTCTCCCATTGTCACTAGCCCAACCCCCCCAACCCCAACTATACCTCCTTTAGTGAGTTGAGTTGCTTGAGTTCCCTGTACTGTTCTATAAGAGGCACCCTGTGTTTCTCCCATTGTCACTAGCCCAACCCCCACCCCCACTATACCTCCTTTAGTGAGTTGAGTTGCTTGAGTTCCCTGTACTGTTCTATAAGAGGCACCCTGTGTTTCTCCCATTGTCACTAACCCAACCCCCCCCCACCCCCACTATACCTCCTTTAGTGAGTTGAGTTGCTTGAGTTCCCTGAACTGTTCTATAAGAGGCACTCTGTGTTTCTCCCATTGTCACTAGCCCACCCCCCCCCCCCAACCCCCCCACCCCCACTATACCTCCTTTAGTGAGTTGAGTTGCTTGAGTTCCCTGAATTGTTCTATAAGAGGCACCCTGTGTTTCTCCCATTGTCACTAGCCCACCCCCCACCCCCCCTCCACCCCCACTATACCTCCTTTAGTGAGTTAAGTTGCTTGAGTTCCCTGAACTGTTCTATAAAAGGCACCCTGTGTTTCTCCCATTGTCACTAGCCCACCCCCCTCCACCCCCACTGTACCTCCTTTAGTGAGTTAAGTTGCTTGAGTTCCCTGAACTGTTCTATAAGAGGCACCCTGTGTTTCTCCCATTGCCACTAGCCCACCCCTCCCCCACTATACCTCCTTTAGGGAGTTGAGTTGCTTGAGTTCCCTGTATTGTTCTATAAGGGGCACTCTGTGTTTCTCCCATTGTCACTAGCCCAACCCCCCCACCCCCCCCACCCCCACTATACCTCCTTTAGTGAGTTGAGTTGCTTAAGTTCCCTGTATTGTTCTATAAGAGGCACTCTGTGTTTCTCCTATTATCACTAACCCCCCCCCCCCTTCTATACCTCCTTTAGTGAGTTAAGTTGCTTGAGTTCCCTGAACTGTTCTATAAGAGGCACCCTGTGTTTCTCCCATTGCCACTAGCCCACCCCTCCCCCACTATACCTCCTTTAGTGAGTTAAGTTGCTTGAGTTCCCTGTACTGTTCTATAAGAGGCACCCTGTGTTTCTCCCATTGTCACTAGCCCAACCTCCAACCCCACTGTACCTCCTTTAGTGAGTTAAGTTGCTTGAGTTCCCTGAACTGTTCTATAAGAGGCACTCTGTGTTTCTCCCATTGTCACTAGCCCCCCCCCCCCCACCCCCACTTTACCTCCTTTTGTGTGTTGTGTTGCTTGAGTTCCCTGTATTGTTCTATAAGAGGCACTCTGTGTTTCTCCCATTGTCACTAGCCCAACCCCCCCCCCCCCCCTCCCCCACTATACCTCCTTTAGTGAGTTGAGTTGCTTGAGTTCCCTGTATTGTTCTATAAGAGGCACTCTGTGTTTCTCCCATTGTCACTAGCCCAACCCCCCCACCCCCACTATACCTCCTTTAGTGAGTTGAGTTGCTTGAGTTCCCTGTATTGTTCTATAAGAGGCACTCTGTGTTTCTCCCATTGTCACTAAGCCCCCCACCCCCCCCCCACCCCCACTATACCTCCTTTAGTGAGTTAAGTTGCTTGAGTTCCCTGAACTGTTCTATAAGAGGCACCCTGTGTTTCTCCCATTGTCACTAGCTCAACCCCCAACCCCCCACCCCCACTATACCTCCTTCAGTGAGTTGAGTTGCTTGAGTTCCCTGTATTGTTCTATAAGAGGCACTCTGTGTTTCTCCCATTGTCACTAGCCCACCCCCCTCCACCCCCACTATACCTCCTTTAGTGAGTTGAGTTGCTTGAGTTCCCTGAACTGTTCTATAAGAGGCACCCTGTGTTTCTCCCATTGTCACTAGCCCACCCCCCTCCACCCCCACTATACCTCCTTTAGTGAGTTGAGTTGCTTGAGTTCCCTGAACTGTTCTATAAGAGGCACCCTGTGTTTCTCCCATTGTCACTAGCCCACCCCCCCTCCACCCCCACTATACCTCCTTTAGGGAGTTGAGTTGCTTGAGTTCCCTGTATTGTTCTATAAGGGGCACTCTGTGTTTCTCCCATTGTCACTAGCCCAACCCCCTCCCCCACTATACCTCCTTTAGTGAGTTGAGTTGCTTGAGTTCCCTGTATTGTTCTATAAGAGGCACTCTGTGTTTCTCCCATTGTCACTAGCCCACCCCCCCCCCCCCTCCACCCCCACTATACCTCCTTTAGTGAGTTAAGTTGCTTGAGTTCCCTGAACTGTTCTATAAGAGGCACCCTGTGTTTCTCCCATTGTCACTAGCCCACCCCCCTCCACCCCCACTGTACCTTCTTTAGTGAGTTAAGTTGCTTGTGTTCCCTGAACTGTTCTATAAGAGGCACCCTGTGTTTCTCCCATTGCCACTAGCCCACCCCTCCCCCACTATACCTCCTTTAGGGAGTTGAGTTGCTTGAGTTCCCTGAATTGTTCTATAAGAGGCACCCTGTGTTTCTCCCATTGTCACTAGCCCACCCCCCCCCTCCACCCCCACTATACCTCCTTAAGGGAGTTGAGTTGCTTGAGTTCCCTGTTTTGTTCTATAAGAGGCACCCTGTGTTTCTCCCATTGTCACTAGCCCCCCCCCCCCTCCACCCCCACTATACCTCCTTTAGTGAGTTGAGTTGCTTGAGTTCCCTGAACTGTTCTATAAGAGGCACTCTGTGTTTCTCCCATTGGTTGGCTAATGTCACTAATTTCTGGGCACTGGAATCTATGATAGCCTGGAAAATCAGAAAAAGAGAGTACAAATGTAGTGCATTTACAGCACATAATTACAAGTTAGCTACATTTAAAGACTTTAACTTTATATAAAGTTTGGCTTCTCTTGAACCCTTTTTTTAAATTTGGTTCTTGTGCATATAACCTTTCCCTTTGTAAAAAAAAAAGAAATATGTGTTTTCAGATTGACCAAAAAATAAGTTTCCCATGCTGACTGAAGAGAGAGATATTACCTGTAGCTTGGCAATATTAGTTTCTGCCTCTGGTAAGAGATCCAGGGTTCTTTTCTTGACTTTATAACTCTCCTCCTTCTCCGCGTTCTGTCTGGTCTGCGTGGTTATCTCCTCTTCCATCTGTTTTACACCAGCATTATATTTCTTGACTTCTAAATCTAACTGATCAAATCGTGAGTTAACGCTCTCAAGGTCTTGTTTTAAACCTAGCAGCTCCTCTTCCCGCTGTTTTTGGAGTTCCTAAAAAGGAAACAGTCTTGGTTTATATAAACAAATTAACATTTTGATAAGTGCCACTGTACACTGTACATGGTATCCCTGTCCCCTCCCATATATGTAGTAAGTTTAACTAACCTCCTCTGTATGAGGTTTCTCTGCCTCTGTTCCAATCTGTGATAAGGCTTCATCCTGTAAAAAATAGGTCCACAATTTTCTTAAATTCTTACCTAACAAAAACTTCACACTTGTCTCACATTTTTCAGTACTTTTAAACTTAAGGTACATATAAGTTAAAAGTTCAGAGCATTTTGTGCATAACACATCTCAACTGTAACACTTGTGGATCTTAGACAAAAAGGTATGTGTACATGTACATTATATTTCATGTAAAGACTTGCCTTGGCAAACACCAGCTGTTCTGTGTGAGTGAACCTTGACCCCTTGGTTTTGGCGGTGGAGGCTCGACTTCCCATCTTGTCCAGTATCTGCTGTAGGTCCTGAGCTGTCCGCGAGGCCGAGGCTTCCTGGCTTCTCTTGAAGTCCTGGCGCAGTGTTTCTGCCAGTCTCTTCTGTATCCGCTGTCTCTTCCTGGCTCTGTAGTCCTGTAATATTAAATCAATATTTACTTCATGATTCAAAATGGTTTAATCAGAGACTTGTCATATACACATATACTCTGATATCATCCAATATTTCCCTAATTTGCATATTCTAAGATTGTCAAACATAAATGAAAATTCTGATAAAAATAAAATCATATAATGTTTAAATTATATTCAATTTTCCAACATCAACTGAAGAATAACCTTACTACATGCAAACACATAAAGAAAAGAATATTTCCACCAAAAAATCCTGAAATAATTGTTTATACATGTATACTAGTACTGTAAATCACTTTTTATTCATGAGAACTTTATTTTCGCGTAATTACGCGAGACGGTATGCTCGCGGAAATTTCATTCTCGCGTTGAATAGAATTCCTTAAGATTATATAGAGCAATGACCACAATTCGCGAAAAATTTTGTCTCGCTTATAAGGAGTCAATGACTCTCTTGCAAAAATAAGGTCTCACGAAAATTAAGTGATCTACAGTATTTGAAATCATAGAAAGGGTTATGTCTTCATACCTGTACAGAGAGTCTAGAAGCTAAGCCTTGTGTATTCCATTCAGTCTCCCACTCCATTTGTTCAGATATTTCACTGGCCATCTCCTCCAGAATTGAAGGTCCTGTGTCTTTGTGGTTTATTGTTTGGTTTGTTAAGTACGGAAGACATTCACAATAATACGACTTTAGTTCTGGGGAAAAAATCATACAATCTGGTCAATTAACAGGTGTAACATACATGTATGGGTAGAAATACTGTAAAAGTACCTAATTTTTAGGTCAGCAAGTGAATTTGCTGCTGTAAATGTGTTCTTTTTGACAAATACTGGAGACTAAAAGGGAGTGTAACTTTGTTTTTTTTTTACATAATGTTCAGTATGCCAAGAACTTCAACAAAACTTCTTAAGTGTATGTGTTCAATGGTCTGGGTTTCTGGTACTTGAACATACTGAATATAACTGATCAAGAACCATGACTGCATTAAAAAATTTGCACAATAGAAGTATCATTGTAGTGCATTATTACATGTTTTAAGGCATCATCTGTTTTATCATAATCAAATACGGTAATTTATGAGCACACCTTACTTCCTGCTAAATATACTGTATACGATTCTGTTTTACCTTTTGGCACTTTTTTGGTAAGATCTCCTGTACCACTGGGATACTTAAGTTTACAGGCATGGTAACTACACATTGCACATGACCCCTGAAATGTAGCAGCAATTTTTGTACCTTAATCAAAATGGAAATTTTTGTCAATTTCTAAGTTCTTGGAGCAAAATGAGTTTATTGAAATGGATATCAAGTTATATATATACCGGTACCCTCACCTCTCTTTGCCATGTAGGAGGCCTGCCTCTCCATGTGATGGAATCTTGTTTGAGATTAGGAGAAATCCACGGTGAATTAATCTGTCTTAATACGGTGGAAGCAATAGCTCTCTGTAGCAGAGCAGAGGACCCTAAAATCAATATAAGGTATCTATAGCATAACCCAATGGAGCAGCTTATAAATAATATGTATGCATTGGGGTTTTTCCTTATATTGTATGTAAAGCTGTTTAAGCATTACTTACAAACAATATCTTAGATCAGTTTACAAAGAATTCAGTACTCATACTCAGATTAAATGTACTACAGCAGGATCAGTGTGACCCCTAATGTTTTACCCATAGGTTCCTCTGCTGTCTCGGCCGTGTCTTTAGGCAGCTTGTCCACCAGAAACATAAACACCTTTCTAATCTCAGATTCATTCGAGTATAAAAATGTCTGATATCCAATCTCTCCCTTATATCCAAGTTCCTAAAAAAATAGTTGAGTCAAGTAATGAACATTTATAGAGTAGTACTAGTAAATAACTCATCATAAAAAAGAAATACAAACCTGAATCAATAATTGAAAATTGCTGGAAGACCCAAGGAATATTTCTTAGTTTATTAAAAGCTGAAAAATTAGACCAATGACTAGTAACTATTTTTACATTATCTATAACAGATAATAGATACCTGTATATAGTTGGCAAGTCCTGTCCCCATCCGGAACCTGGCCGACATTCCACCGGGGAGGGTATTCGGCAAATCAACATCTTGCTTCAGAATCGTCTTGATGCACTGGACAGCAGATGATACAATCAACTCAGTTGAAAATTCTTTTAAACTCACTATTTCTTCATCAATGTCACTGAAAAATCATACATATGGTTACCACAAAACTCTGAGACAAGCTAGTCCTCATGATGTGTTATATTTTTTTATGATACATTTCAATAACTTGAATAAGTCAAATGGACTCTTACATTCAACAATTAATTTCTTTTGAAAAATTGTTACTTTTGGAAGCTAATAAAATAGCCTTAACTTTGCTCATTTGACAGTCTACTATTTGGAGCTCAACCCTCAGCACTTTTAAGTTCAAATTATCATGCAGTTTATACTTTAAAGTTTCAAAAGCTGAATCGAAAATTACAAGTGTAAGCTGTACAGTGTGAATCTGTGCTCTCCCAAATGGTTGAACTATAAAACAATTCATAATATAATTTAATTATTTTATATATATTATTTTAAACATGGTAAAAGATATTAGTTGGCAGCTGAACTCTGAGTTGTTAATTTTACATGTCGCTTTTAAAAAATTGCTAGCACTATATCTTGGCACAATGAGGTCCAAAATTATTTTACACTAAAATAATTGTCCATATTCCACCCCCTGAATTTTCAAGGCTACACTTCAGCTTTGTTGCTGCAGCCTTTATGCAACATATACTCAAAGAATAGTAGATGTTATAAAGAAATCTTGTTGTATAAACTAGGATATAATAACTTAAAGTCTTTCTGTTGTAGAAAATGCCAACATTTATTTACCAGCCAATTGCTCGAATGGAAAAAATAATGATTCTATCCACCTCCTCCATCTTGAAAAATCATGTGACTTTCATGTGTCGGAGAAAATGATTTTTCTGAAAATGACAAAGAATTAAAATAAAAAAAAAACTGTTGAAATCTTTAATTTTTAAAAAAATATTTTCCAAAGGACTGTCGTATTTTTACAATGATGTATGAATCACTTAAATTTTGGCAAACAACATATTCATTCACCTCGGGACTGTTTGTTTACAATATGGCGACTTTGGAGGGATTTTGAAAAGTATTTGAAAAGAAATTAATAAATTGATGTACTTTTTAAAACTTTTATATTTACTTTCGATTGATTAACTTAAAATTTACTTATTATGGAAGATCAGCAGATAGAATTTTTAAAGGATCAGGGTAAGTAAATCATAAAATACGACGGAGCATTTTTGTGCAAGTCTGAACTAATATGAAATAGATATATGAGTGAAGACTGGAGTCTTACTTGAATTGTTTAAAACTAATTTTATAAATTTATGAAATAAGCTCGAGTACCTGTAAACCACACTGACAATTTTTAGGTGAGTACATTTTTTCAATTAGTGGAATATGTTTATGTTATTGCTCTTTCCATAGTGTGGATACTGAATGATGAATCTATCACATTTTCTGAATGATTGAACAACTGAAATTTTTGTCAGCAGCTCCATGCAAAGATGGTTGCTTTGTTATTCTTTGATAATCTTATTACAGTTCAAAGACTAAATGCTGAATTGGCCAAATACAGAACTCAAGACATACAAAGGGAAGAGGTGAGAACAAAATTGATCTTTAGAAATTTTTATCTTGTGAGATATTTCACCCAAATTTTACCTTGATGCACTTCAGAGTGCTTTAATTAGATTGTAGGTGTACAGCGTTATGCCTATTTTTCTTTATTGTTCACAACAATACTAAACCGAATCATCTGACCTGTTTTACATTTCAGACTCCTCTTGATCAGCCGGGTCCAGCTGCACCTTGGTTAACAGAAAAAAGGTTTATAATTTAAATTTATACAGTCATGTATAATATTCAGATATAAGATACGTAAAGTATTAAATTAATTTGCAGATGGAAATGTGATCATGAGGAAATATCTTAAAATCTGTTCATTGTTAGTTAAATTAGAATATATCAAATGATTATTCTTAACATTTCAGTGCATTGGCTCCTCTTATAGAAGAATATGATCAGCAATTCCAGAAACTAGAGCAGGAAAAAGAATTTCTAAATGTATTGGTTTTGTTAAGTAAAATATGTAATATGATAAATTTTCTTTTCCATTTCCTAGCACAGATACAAATAATTAAAGCTTATTTACACAAATACATCTGAAAAATATTAGACATGACAAATCTATAATTTTAATTTTTTTTAATTTGATTCATTGCTGACTATAAAATGCATGTATTACATCTCTATTATGACCTTGTCCTTTATATGTACAGTTGTACAATCATATATTCAAGTAAAACTCATTTAATCACATATCTCCAGAGTTTGGTAAATACATCATCTCCCCCTTTCTTTGTAGAAAGAGCTGTCTCAGCTGAGACCTGAACTAGAAAGAGTTGTAGCAGATAATAGTAAGCTGGTCCAACAACTAAGGGAGACAATTGAGAATCAGCTGGGAAATGTGGAGGATGGAGAGTTCTCTCCCTCTAATGACCAGGAGCAAGTTCTCCAGAACCTTCAGATGCAGACAGAAAGTGCTCTACAGGTGAAGTATTTCATTTAAATCTCATACATCTTGTAGAATATTTGTGCTATTTTTTAGACAATAAAATGCTTGGGGCTGGCCAGAAAATAGGCAAATAATCAAAAATTAGCACAATGAAAAGTAAAATTAAACTGGCAAAGATTAAAAGATCACTTGAAAGGTTTTGAATTTGAAGAAATATAGCTTTTCCATAAAGCATTTGTGAGCTATTAATTTGTTATTTTGTGATAAAGATTTTAACCAAAAAAAATTTTTACACATTTTTAATTATTATTTTACATGTATTTAATTTACAAAGATTGGTAATAAAGATAAGTGGTGTACAATATTAGATAACATCAGGATACTTAATGATGAAATATATCACTAGTAGAAGTAACAAGTTTAAATAAGGTTTGATTTATTGCAGGAAAAAGATGCTGCTTTAGAAAGATGGCAAGAGGCCGACCAAGAAATTGACCGTCTCCAGAGAGAGCTGCAGGTCAGAGTCATAAGATGTTAGAAAAAAACAGCAAAATCTGTTAAATAACTATTCATAATACCTATAAAAGGGAATTTTTATTTCATATTGGGGAATGTTTTAAAAATTACCATTTTAAGTTTATTTCTTTAGTAAGTTTAACCCAAAATATAGACTTTGCTCTCTTTCTTTTCAGAACTTTATTCAATTTTTCTGAAGAAAATAAATTTTGAAATACTTTTATATTTTACAGTGAATATTTTGTATAAGTTTTACTATAACTTTCACACATTTTAACTTTATTTAATAGAATGAAAAGGACAGTCACCAGTGGAAAGTGGTAGAAGAGCAGGCCAACCAAGTAAGCACAGTCATACCTCATTATCTTAAAGTTGATGGGACTGAGAAAAAAAAAGAAACTTCTAGCTAAGGTTAAAGTTGTGGAGAGTAAAATACACAAAGAAAAAGTGGTTGGGATTTCAGCGTTCGAGATCCCAAAGTTTAGTACATGTATCTTACAGTTGAAATGGGGTATGCAAAATGAACTTTTTTAAAACAATAGACGACAATATTTAGGGTTTATTTTCTAGATGAAATCAGAATATTATGAAACAGTAACAGTTTTGAACAAAGAGATTGAGGCCTTACAGAATGACCTAAGGTAACTTTATCTATAAGTTCTCTTTTACACAAACAATATACAATATGCATGGACATATTAAATTGTTTACTCATGATAATCTGTACCTTTGATGTCTAAGACGAGGAGATAATTCTGTTTGACAGGTCCACACGAGACCAGCTGGATGTGGCCAATATGGAGGTCAGGGATCTTAAGAGGTCGAACACAGATCTGGAGCAACAGCTTGTCTGGAAGGTACTGTAAAATCACATATTTTTTAGGGATTAATTATTTGTGGTTTGAGGAAAACATATTAGTTCATTGGGATTTGATTTCGTGGTTGAAGAACTGTTCAGTAGTAATATAAGTGAAAAACTGCATTTCATGGTGGATATAACTAAATTCAGGGGTCTCTTCATACCTTAAAAACCACGAAAATTAACCCCCCTCGAAAATTAGTGATTTCACAGTAAATTGTTAACTCTGTGGAGTGGGGATGAAAGTTACCAAAGGCAGAATTTAACATAGCGTAAAAATGCTTGGCACTAAAAAATCCTACTCTTTACATGTATTTTTAATGGGATATCCATCATTGAACACTGCTACTGACTATAACTAAAATACCAGAGTGCATTATTTATCATTGTCCTATATTGACATATGTTTAAATTTGATGTTCATTAAAGTTTAAGGTACAGTGGGGTATTTTCAGGGCACTGACCTTCAGATCCATTACTGTAAATTCCTCCTTAAGCTGATTATGTTTTGTTGGCCAATACCCCTGTGGTGTGTTTATATTTCCACAAATAATCCAGTGTTTTGTTTCACAGCTGATTATATTGGATTCCACCTCAAAGGTTGATTAAGGGAATAACAAATTAATTATCTCGTTAACTTTGAATGCAGGATCAGGAAATCGCTGATGTCATCTTCAAAGAAGGAATGTCCGACTCCAGGGTCGGAGAACTCAAGAAGATTATGGATGAAACATCCCAAAGGTATGGATTGGAAAGGAAATAGATAATGTTGTAGGAAATTCTGAACTTAGTACAACCAGGGATGTCAAAAATTTTGGTTTTTCTGGCTCTTTGTTGCTTTTTTAATGATTTACTTTATTTCAAAACAAACATAGTAATGGTTTAGATTTCAACATTTCAATAGATGCTCATTAAGGATAAATGAAATGAAATAATAATTGTATGTAAAATTAAGAAAAAATTTATTTGAATGTTAATGTTTTTTTAATAAAGATTATCAACAGCGTTAAAGGAATTGGATGACATCAAGGGAGAAAAGATTGCATTAGAAGCCAGGGTGTCAGAGCTGAAAAAGCGTGGGTAAGTGATTATAGGTGTATATACACTCATACAGAAGCCTTTATAGAAAACTTATTCTCAGTTTAAATGAGGTACATATATTTATATACTTAGTTAAAAAACAAAAACCTTGTTCTGAAAATTATAATGTGATTCTTAATACAAATTACCATTTTTTTTTATTGTCATTATATTGCAAAATAAGATCTTCATGTTTCGATAGTTATCAGAGAGTAAATATTTTCAGCAGTGATATTTATGTTGTAATCTGGATTAATAATATTGAGAGTAGAGACTTGTAATAACCAAATTATTTAGTCATATATTTTCACTCAGCCTGTGTTTACATTTTACCTAGGGATGAGCTTGAGAAGAAGGAGTTTGAGTACGTAGCCCAGGTGAGGGATGCTGTACAGATGGTAGAGAATTCTGTCCTGGAGAAAGACCAAGTGAGTTCTATGTATAGAATTACTCTTCTGTAACACAGCCTTCTTAAAATGTTCTAAAGAAAAGATAAGCATTTATATAGAAGAAATAATCATACTTGTGTTTGTGCTTTAAAAATTGAAAGTGTTGAAGTAAATGCGTGAACACTACATACTGACAAAGTACTGATTGAACAGTACAGACTGAAATATCATTGTTTATTACTTTGTAATTTTTCAAAAGGCTGAAATGGAGGTGAAACAGAAGGAAGAGGAAATAGATAAATTACAGGAAGCTCTCAATAAACTAATTAACGATGCAGGTGTCCGTACCAGACAGGAGGTACGTATGATGATGTGTATCAATGTCAGACTACAGGAACAGCCTAAGTGTGCTGCTTACAGAACAGACTAAGTATGCTGCTTTCTTAGTAGCTACAGAATGGCTCTCTAGGAATTAAAATTTGAGAACAGACATCCTCAAGTATGATATGATAGGTGTACATGTATCTGAAAAATTACT